TTACATGATTGCATCGCCGCATTGGTTATCAAGAAACGCACGATCAACGAGAAAAAGAAAAACGATACGAAAACGGATCTAATGCGTCAGCGAAGTCTCATCCTATTGTGCTCACCGATTAACTAAAATGTGATAAAGATACATGCTGATGATGAAGACATGTTGTCGAAAAACTTTTCCGTAAGGAAGCTATAGGAAGGAACGCAGTACGAAGATTAACAGCTAAGAATGTTTAAAGGAGACGTCATAAGTAAGACTGTTCTTGAATCGGTCTCGCGATTGACACGATTTGCGAGATTGTAACGAAGATGAAAACATCGAACCCGAATGAATAATGAGGCTGCGCTCATACTTTCAGGCAGGCCACCGGCGACCACCAGTTTTTCGAGCGTCCGCCAGTGCCAGCGACTAGGAAAGTATAGATGTCGATTCAGCGAAAGCAGGCGTTCCGATGGACTAGGGAAGCATAGGTATCGATCTAGCGCACGCCAGCGTCAAGGAGTAGAGAGTGTGGGGATGTAAGAGGGTAGCAGACAGTTGGATAAGGCGTTGCGAAATTGCGGCGTGTGCAACCGCACAATACAACTGCTGAAGACAGAACTACGCAAACATGACGTCGGTATATTGCCGTTGTACGGTGCGGCTGCACACGCCGCAATGTCACGACGCCTAATCCAGCCGTCTGCAACCCTCCTACTTCCCCATACTCTCTACTGAAAACTGGACTTAGATCGACACCTATACCTCCCTAGTCCTTCAAGACACTAGTGAGTGCTGGCGGAGCTGGCATTCGCTAGACCGATAGTTATACTCTCCCAGTCGCTGGCGGACGCACGTGTGCTCGCTGATGAACGCTGCAAAAAGCATGAAACCGCACGAGAAGAACCAATGCGGAAAAGCAAAACCGACGTGCTGGAGTGTCCGTTCTATGGAAATTCAGGTGGAGGAGTGTGATAACATCTTCGAATATACGACGAAAATTGAAGCAATTGATACGGGAAGGCGTGACACGGGGAGACGACGTATTGGAGTTAATCGGTGAGCACGATTTTGAAATAACTCAATATTTCCGCGAATACCCCAGATTATATGAATAATGAGACCTTAGTACTGTTGTTTCGCCGACATTTGCCCTAATTATTTTCTTCCAACTCCTGAAATCATTTATGTGAAACTGTAAAACTGCAGTAAGCAGTACTGTGTAGATGTCGTGCCCAACGGAGCAAGTGGGGCGTAAACCGATCCAGCCATGCCATTGCGTTTCGCGTGAATCTCCTTCTGCAGTCGTTCACGATAGTAAGTATACCGCTGTCGCGATAAACTGTATTCCTCATACAATTGTTGTAGTTCACTGAAAATGTATAAATTATTTGGAAGAGGCAGAAACATAATAAAACGAACGGGTGCAAACGATAGTTGAAAAAAGATTCGCATCAACAAAAGACGAGAACTATATTACGCCAAATGTGAAAATCTTATAGTGAAAACACTGCGATCCTGAAACTGCCTGAATCAAAATTTCTATATGTGAATAAGTTTGACCACTTACGGCTCTGGTGGGCGTGGTATTTCCTCGTCGACCATGTTGATCACTTGAGTCGGTCGTTTTGCATCGGGTCCATCTCTGGAGAAATACACATGGGTTCAGAAACCAACCCACTAACCAATACACTAAAAGATTAGCCCTCACATCGCACCGGCTGGACGCTTCACCGCACCAGTTAAATCTATTTTGATTGTCTGCGTAACTCTGAATGAGAAGACTGTGAATATTTGCCATATTTATTCTGTTTATGCTGCTATGCCACTCGAGGTTTTTTAGGTGGAAATCTTTATTTTACGGCCTAACGTTTCGACTTGGTCGTCTTCTTCAGAGGCCTAAACGCGTTTCGAGGTTAGGAAATGAACACTACCTCACTAAGCGCCCAACCGTCACATGTGACTGCGGATATACGGTGGGAGCTTAGTGAGTGCACTCTTCGTGTTGTGTGGGCTTTCAGGTTGAGTTCCGAACACGCCATCGGAACTGCTAGGGTTGGTTGGGCGCTTAGTAAGGTAGTGTTCATTTCCTAACCTCGAAACGCGTTTAGGCCTCTGAAGAAGACGACCACGTCGAAACGTTAGGCCGTAAAATAAAGATTTCCACCAAAACCTCGAGTGGCATAGCAACATAAACAGAATTAACAACGATGCCGAGATTACAACAAGAGAGAACTTGGAGAATATTTGCCATATTGTTACCCAGACACCGATTGAAATCTCGGCACTATTTATCCTTCCCAATCTTCGAAATAAGGCCAGTTTTTTTTTACCCACGACAGACTTGGTTAAAA